TTTGTTTACAAAGAGCAAACAGCAGATTGTTCAAGAGTTCACAACTCTCACTCCGAAAAAGATTGCCCTCACAGTTTTCTGGACTTGCGGCTTCTTCAACATTGAGCTGTAACCCCTTGTGGGGCGAGCGTCCGCCAGCTCCAATTAAGGACACTCGACTGAGTAGTGCCCCTTGAGATGCTTATATACCTCAATTAGGTCGCCCCTTGCCCGTCTGTTGTATAAGGTAGGCAAGTTCAGGCGCTCCAATCTCTCAGGGTAGCTGAGGTTCCGAAGTGCAGGCCCAGTCTGGTGGCCTTCCTTTGAACATTTTTCAACCAACTGACAGTTGTAATTTCCCTTGTAATATTTGCACCGAGGGTCCGCTCACACTTGCAAACCTGCAGTATCCCTTCATATCTGCAGGTAGGACAACCTCCAATCCCAAATACGGTCTGGCTGCTCCAAGAGCTCCAGCTGGAACCACCAAACGGACTGCGTACAGGCAAAGGCCCGTGTCTGACTACGGTCCGACAATCTCAACAACAACACAACCGTGAAGAGGATTCTACTCAACGCTCTCAAACAGACAAGACCTCCTCTAAACAAGCTCCTCACCACACAGCAACTCCCCAACACTGCATTGTATATATATATATATATATATATATATATATATATATATATATATATATATATATATATATATATATATATATATATATATATATATATATATATATATATATATATATATATATAGATAGATATATAGAAAACGTCATTGTGAGTTTCCCTTCTCACCTCCATACTTAGTGCGAATCTCCTACATGTGCGTATGTATGTGAGCCTGTAGTGGATTCCTCCCATACAAGTACCGAACCTTTTCGAATTCCCCAGTCTACGCCTCCAGCGCCGCCCACGGAGCGGGGGTCAACTATCTACCCACGCCTATCCCCGCCTTATAAGGCCTGACACCGCTGTGACCATCCTCTTTCTACCCAGTGCCACCAGCAATGCAACACCTCCTCCGCGCCAGCCTTGCGGCTGCCGCTCCCGCCAACGACCTTGGCGTCCTTCAAGCTGCGTGTCCCTCCTCTGGGCACCCTCACCACCCAGCTCTCTCTACTCAACGCTTATTACCATGCTACCTACCCAGCAACAAGCTGCATTGTACATCCAATACAATATGTATACAGTGAGCACATTGTGAGTTTCCTTTTTCTATCCCATCCTGAGTGTGAACCAATATCTCATAACCCCACAAATGGTGACACCGGAGTGACCATTTGTGGGGTTCAGGATATTTCTCCTCTATCCTGTGTGAGTGGTCACCGCCTCCAGCGGTGTAGGATTTTTGTTGTCTGCAGGGTTGCATCCCACATGTGAGGGAGGACGGGCGGTGCATGCCACATGTGGGACATAACGGCGAGGGCGTGGATGAGCCGGCCGCTAGGGGGGTGGGGCAACTCTGTCTAGATACACGAGATCTGTGGGAGAAAAGAGGTAGAAGGAGGGTTGTGGAGGCGATGAATGTTGTGCTTCCCTCGCGACAGGTACAGAGTCCTCAGATGCGCCTGCTGGGGTGTGTGGGCCTGGGTAAGGAGCAGGGGCTGCGTTAGGAAGAGTGTTCATGACAGCAGCAGGGTACATGACAGCAGCAGGGTGCAGGACAGTAGCAGGGTGTACCTGAGGGAGAAAAGAGGGGTGTGTGGGTCCGCGTCCAGAACAGGGGCCGCGTCAGGAGGAGCGGCAGGGGGTACTGCTGGACCGGGGTCGGCGTCTGAGGCAGGACGGATGTGTTGGGGTCGGTCGGACGTGGTGCTTGGGGCAGAAAGAGGAACGGCTGTCTGGTTAGAGTAGCAGAGCTGCTCTAGGGTGTCTAACCTGCGGTGTAGAGACAGTAGTTGTAGAGCCGATAAGAGCTGCCTCTGCGTGGGTAAGCCAGTCTTCCATGTTGCTTGAAGACTGGGAGAGTGATCAGTTTCTCCTCCATCCTGTGTGAGTGCGAATCTCCGGGGTCACCATTTGTAGGGTTATGAGATATTGGTTCACACTCAGGATGGGATAGAAAAAGGAAACTCACAATGTGCTCACTGTATACATATTGTATTGGATGTACAATGCAGCTTGTTGCTGGGTAGGTAGCATGGTAATAAGCGTTGAGTAGATAGCGCTGGGTGGTGAGGGTGCCCAGAGGAGGGACACGCGGCTTGAGGGACGCCAAGGTCGCTGGCGGGAGCGGCAGCCGCCAGGCTGGCACTGAGGAGGAGGTGTTGCTTGCTTGTGGCACTGGGTAGAAAGAGGGTGGTCACAGCGGTGTCAGGCCTTATAAGGCGGGGGTAGGCGTGGGTAGTTAGTTGACCCCCGCTCCGTGGGCGGCCTTGGAGGCGTAGGCTGGGGAATTCGAGAAGGTTCAGTGCTTGTATGGGAGGAATCCACTACAATACTCCCCTTCCCCTCCGGACCCGGCGGGAGGCTGGAGGTTGGCAGGGTTGCGTGCCACATGTCAGGCAGAACGGGCGGTGCATGCCACATGTTGGACATAACGGCGAGGGCGTGGATGAGCCGGCCGCTAGGGGGGTGGGGCAACTCTGTCTAGATACACGAGATCTGTGGGAGAAAAGAGGGAGAAGGAGGGTTGTGGAGGCGATGAATGTTGTGCTTCCCTCGCGACAGGTACAGAGTCCTCAGATGCGCCTGCTGGGGTGTGTGGGCCTGGGTCAGGAGCAGGGGCTGCGTTAGGAAGTGTCCATGACAGCAGCAGGGTCCACGACAGCAGCAGGGTGCAGGACAGTAGCAGGGGGTACCTGAAGGAGAAAAGAGGGGTGTGTGGGTCCGCGTCCGGAGCAGGGGCCGCGTCAGGAGGAGCGGCAGGGGGTACTGCTGGACCGGGGTCGGCGTCTGAGGCAGGACGGGTGTGCTGGGGTCGGTAGGACGTGGTGCTTGGGGCAGGAAGAGGAGCGGCTGTCTGCTTAGAGTAGCAAGGGTGTCTAACCTGCGGTGTAGAGACAGTAGTTGTAGAGCCGATAAGAGCTGCCTCTGCGTGGGTAAGCCAGTCTTCCATGTTGCTTGAAGACTGGGAGAGTGATCAGTTTCTCCTCCATCCTGTGTGAGTGCGAATCTCCGGGGTCACCATTTGTGGGGTTATGAGATATTGGTTCACACTGAGGATGCGATGGAGAAAGGAAACTCACAATGTGCTCACTGTATACATATTGTATTGGATGTACAATGCAGCTTGTTGCTGGGCAGGTAGCGTGGTAATAAGCGTTGAGTAGAGAGAGCTGGGTGGTGAGGGTGCCCAGAGTGAGGGCACGCGGCTTGAGGGACGCCTAGGTCGCCGGCGGAGCGGGAGCCGCCAGGCTGGCGCGGAGGAGGAGGTAGGTGTTGCTTGCTGGTGGCACTGGGTAGAAAGAGGCTGGTCACAGCGGTATCAGGCCTTATAAGGCGGGGGTAGGCGTGAGTAGATAGTTGACCCCGGCTCCGTGGGCGGCGCTGGAGGCGTAGGCTGGGGAATTCGAGAAGGTTCGTTGCTTGTAGGGGAGGAATCCACTACAAGGCTAACAAAGTGAAAAGAGACAAACACAAAGAGAAATTTGACAACTGGCCACATACCATACGCTACACCTCCACAACACAGCAACTCCCCAGCATCCTACTGCATTGTACATACAATATATGTGGAGTTCACGCTATTCTGAGTTTCCTTTCTCACCTCCATCTACTACTAGTACTTGCCAACAATGCGTGACAAAGACGTTACCGATCGCCCAAGCGGCTAACGAGCCGATCAGTGGTGAAGAGGATAACAAAACCAAAACAATAACTGAGTCCGAGATCTCCCTTAAATTACGTGTGTATGCGGTCCTAAAGAAAGAGAAAGTTTACACCTAAAACAAAGAGAAAATTGACTAACCGGACACATATACACGTTACAACAGATATTACAGCTAGCTGGAGAGGGAAGAGGAAAGATGATCTTCACGCATTAATTCTGGTGTTTATGTAAAATATCAAACAAGTTTCAGAGTACAGTACGTACCACTTGAGACACCCATATATCTTGGGCGCTTGGCTATGGCAAATCGACCCGATGCTCCTCAAAATAAGCTTGTTGCTCTTCATGGTGCCAAAATCCAAAGGTGCTACTAAAGTGTGCCGTCTGCAATATATTTTGGTTAAATTTGTTTAGCTTAGGTTAGGTAAGAGCCGTTAGACTAAAGATATCTTTGCAGACCGCACGCTATAGTATTGCCCAATTTTCCTTCCTAGGTCACAATTATGTTTTCGTGACCCCTACCTCAGTATTCTATTGTTTTTCTTAATCAATAGTCCACTCCACCGAAGAAAATGCTTAAAAGCAACAAAGAAGCTTCTGCTAAATTACCAGAGTTTAGTGCAATATGATAATCCTCTCTACTACACTAAGCATGCAATGCCTTTTGATTATGGTATTGGGAATGTACCGTCTCACACTATTATAAAAGTTGTACCATCCTGTTCCATTTACATTCTGCCAAATTATTCAGGGTATGTCCATGTATGTTTGTGTAAGTACCTACACTTCAGTGTGGCGGATGTGTATACATTACCTATGATACAACTGAGAGTGCGCATTCATTTGGGTACATGCGCGCAAAGAATGTCCATATAAAACAGTGGATCCAGGCGCATGTATTCCATGCAATTATGAAATGTACTCGGTTAAAAGCAAATGTTTAATTTCTTCATAAGAGAATTAATGTTTAATATAACTATAAAAATAAAAATCGTGTCTATCGAACCAAAGAGCCCATTCAATGCAACTGAAATTGGATAAAAAAGATTTAGGTTGGCATTTCTGAGAAAGCGTCGGGAGAGTATATTGTCCAAACTAGTCAAAATTAAGAGGAAGATTTAGTTTCCCTGGGTGTTTTTAAATACGAAACAATTTTCTATATAGTTACCTATAATGCATTCACACAGGTATATTTCAAACACGCTAAATAATTTCCCAAGAGTTTGTTGATGAATTTGTTGGTCGTATTATTGGAACCAAACAAACACTGAGGGACGTCTTCATTGTTAAGGGGGTTGGTTGTAAGTGAAGTTGTCACGTACTAACAGTCATCTATGTTGTGTTCTGTGTGGTGTAAGTAAAGTTGTTTATTGTTCTAAGTTAAGTTTTGAAATATGATTATATTTAGTGTGTAGACTACACTAGATATCTTGGCAAAGATGTGAGTGTATATCTCTCAAACTTTATAATAAGGTCATCGGCTGTAATGGAAGTGGTGGTTATGTCGTACAACATCCATCTCTCACTGTTGTGTTGCCGACAGTCAGTTGTGCTGACACCCATACTACGTAATATATTTCTGCATCCTGGAAAACGTCACTGATCAAGTCACGGCCGCTGGCATGTCATTGGCAACCTATAACTCAGCCTGAATCTATAACAGCCAACTTTACTGAGTAATAAAAGGAGGGTCGCCTTATTTTATTGAATTTCTTTTGACAATATCTTTTGATATCCTTTGTATAATGCATAAAATATAAATCCCACATTGAAACAGGGAAAACAATTGTAATACATATACTATAAAGAGGAGCACAGGTTAACCTGGAACCTTAGAAAATAATTTTATGGAATAAAACTTATTTCACAGCCCATGAACAAAATTATGAGGATTTGCAATACAGTATTTGCAGTTTTTTTCGTTAAATTTGCATTAAAAACCAATATGGCTAAGTTGAGCAATGTGTTTTGGTTAGTATCCGTTTAATGGCTGTGCCAATATTTTCGTGTTTGATTTGGTTATGTTAAGTTTGATTTGGTTAGGTTAGGTTTCAACAGTGATTTGGAAGTTGAAATTCTGGTAAATTTTTACTTTAGGACACGAGTCCCTAGGGGTTGACCAATATGTTTTTCCAGTGTATTTTGGTGTGTGTGTTAAGCAAATCTGACCTGCATTTATGGCAGAAATTGCTAGTTTCTGTCCCCTCCCCCATCAATAATGGGAGAGAGCCTGGGAAATTAGGGTTTTTGGGAGGGAGAGAAAACGAAACCAAGTCATCTGACCTAACAAAACCTAACCTAACTCCTAGCCGGGTGCTTTGTCCCCTGTCCCCCGGAAGGCCTAACCTAACCCCTAACTGTTTCCTTTGAAAAAATCAAATGTGATTGGTTGAAAAAAATTTGCGTGAAAATATCGATATCTCATTGGCCACAACTGGATGACGTCAGTCAACATTGCCATTCGTGATGCGCCGATAACATTATTTCACAGACGGGGACTGAAAACTACTTAAGATCAATGAACTTCAATTGTGTTGTTGTTATCCATTTCTGCCAGGTATATATGGGGTTCAAAATGCTCAGAATAGCGAGATCTGAATGTTTCAGTAGTTAATAAGTTTTGGGGGTGCTGTGTCTGAAAGTAAAATAATACCCAAATTCTTTTGAGAATAGGTTTTTTTTGTGAATTTAGGTGTGTTTAAGGTATTATTGTTTCAGTCATCCAGCTAATTTAAGGTTTTTAAGTTTAGGTTGGATAGTGTTATGTTAGGTTAAATTTATGTTTTTTCTGATGGTTTTGATGTATTTTGAACAACTTCCAAATAGGTGGATGACCAAAACGATATTTTTGCCGTGTTTTATTCAAATCTGACTTTCATTTTTTGTGTGCAAATGCATGAATTTTGTAAAAAAAAAAAAAAATAAAAAAAATAAAAAAAAAAAAATAATAATAATAATAATAATAATAATAATAATAATAATAATAATAATAATTTTTACCAAATCTGCTCATTTCCCCCCACCCAAAAGTCAGATTTGAGTAAAAACACTTAAATACACACCAACTAAAAAGGGCTAATATATAGAACTAACATGCAGATGAGTTATTTTTATTACTGTTTATTTTCTTACATTATTTTCATCAGAGTTCTGATATTATAATCATTTATTGTTAAAATTTTTTGTTTTATGGATAATTAGACTCCTAGGCGTGCACTAGTTTATCTTCTGGGCGGTAATGCGGCCCGGAACTGCACCTGGGGCAGTTTGTTTTTCATCATGTGTGAAGGCTGTCGCCAGTCTTACATGGACATAATTTGCGAATTTAGGGATAAAGACAATGAGACCCTTCAATTGTTCAAAGACCACGGCAGTGTTACTCTAGATAGAGACTGTCCACACTGCGGGAATCCCTGTGCTTTCAGACCGGAAAAAAATTTGTTACAATGTAATAAGAAAATTGTAATCAAGAAAAACAGCAGCTGGAACATTGTGGCTAAAGTTCCAGTCCATATAAAGGAATTTGGTATGAAAATGCCAAGATTCAGTTCAGTGTTTTTATTTTATTTATGAATTTTTTTTTTACGAAAATATTTTACACAAATATTGTGAAATAACACTTCCTCAACGCCGTGACTCGATGTTTCCCGCCATCACAGTAAGTCACTCCGCCGCCCGGGCTCCTTAGCGCCAATGCACCCGCACCATCTTGTGTCCAGAAAATGCCTCAAATTTCACTAAACCATAGTACTGTAAGTTCTTTCTGTTTAATATACCGGTAGGGCTCTGCCCCCCAGTGAGAATATTAGGTAAGGTTAGGTAGCCTCTGGACTGACTCTATCTTATCAATCATATTATTATTGTATGGTCTCCAAACTGAGCTTCTAAAGTCAAAATGTAATTTCACCATTGACTTATAAAGTGGAATAAAAATCTCTGTACATATTTATAAACTGGAATGCTCTTATTATCCCCATCATCAAATTTGCTTTCTCTGTCTTTTCAGGGATATGTTCTTCAAATTTCACCCTGTTAGCATTCCCATCCCTTCCTATGTGGTAGGCATATGCTTACATTTTGCTGGATGAAATTTTAAAAACCATTTCTTACTCCATTCCTCCATTTTTAGAAGGTCATCCTGTAATCCGATGACATCTTCTTGATTACTTATCTTAAAAATTTTTGTATTGCCAGAAAAAAGATACATATAAGAATTAATCATTTCTGGGAGGTCATTTATATGTACTCTGTATCACAAAAAGCAATGGATACAAAACTGTTCCCTGTGGAATGCCAGATGTTACTTCCTGCCATTTGGACATACTGTTACTCCATTTACCAAGACTAATTTTTTTCCAATTAGAAAGGATTCAATCCATTCCAGCATTTGCACACTAATGCCAAATGCTGATAATTTAGTAAAAAGTCTCTGGTGTGGAACCTTATCACATGCATAACCAAATCTAATCTAGAATGAATGGTAAAGTTATAGTTTCGGTCATCCGGGGAATCTTATGAATTTAGATATTGCAATCGGTAATTTAGACAATACTAAGACACTTTTTTTTCTATAATGTTTCCCTCGCAAATGACCTGACCTAACCTCCTAACTGTTTACATCCTGGACAAAGCATCACTGCCAAGAAAGACAAAGTAGTGTGCGTGGCGCTTAATCTGCCAAACAAAGTATTTGTCCAATGAAATGATTATCATATCAGAACTCACTGATGAAAATAGAGTAAGAAAATAACCATCAAAACAAATAATGTGTCGCTGGGTTTCTCGTCAATATCAACCTTTTACTTTTAGCCTCGTCGCCTCTGATAAAGTTGTTGGCTGCTTGAGCGATCAGTCATGTCACTGTTATGCATTGTTGGCCCCAGGTGGACGAGGCAAAGTTCACATAGTAGGTATACATAGATTTAGTGTTCTGGACAAAAATAGTATTACAAAAACTGCAAAACTTTGTTGCCCTTTGAAGAGGGTCGTCGTGTTTCAACCCGAGTTTTAAACTAAATGAGTCCTGAGGGACACCGCAATAATGTACTTAATGGGGTGGTGTGGCGGTAAACTTAACTAATTCCAATATTATAAATTAATTTTATTGGAATTAGTTAATTTTACTGCCACACCACTCCGTTAAGTACTGTACTGTGGTGTCCCTCAGGACTCATTTAGTTTAAAACTCGGGTTGAAAGACAACCAACCTCTTCAAGGGAAGATGTTGTTTAATAATACGGGCGTTAGCCTCTTCCATTCCTCTTGAGGACTTCTTGGATATTTTGTGAATGCCCTGAATTAGAGTGTAATACATATTTATCTACTGGCCACCCTCTAGAGGTAGCCATGTCTAGGGAAGGAGACCGGTGGCCTGTGTAGGATCCCTCCATTGTTCTTGATAATTTTGTCAAGAGCTATTTTGCAGCCCAGTACTGTACTGTTCTTGATTCCACAGCTTGGGCTGGTAGACTTCCATAGTACTGTATCTGTTCTGTGATATTAAACAAGCTGAATATACAAGTACAAGCTTACTACAGAGCTTACTACAGTACAGGTACTAATAATAGTGGTAGTGATGTTAAAAGTAATAGTAATATATAATAGTACTGTATAGTTATAATAATAATGTTTCTTTTGTCAACAGTTGTGACCAAGGGGCCAAGATGACGGATGGAATGCTCTCATTATCTTGGAACAACCATAGCACTACATTCTGTCACACACTGGCCTCACTTAGAGCTAAGGTAATACAGAAAACCATATATGCATTGTTACTAATATTTAAATTACTATATCCCCATTCTTGCATGCAGTCCACACAGTGTTGTGTACTGCAGGGATGCCAGCTGTGCGACAAGCTTCAATATTCACACCATCTCACTGGCAAATGGCCAAACCATTTTTAATTTTTGGTATAATGTTAATATGGGAAAACATAAGATCGATAATCTACAGTGAAGATTTACCTTAATCTGAAATGATAGAGTTTGATAATAGTAGAGAAACTTGATAACACTATAGACGTAGGCGAAAACATCTAATCCGTTGTCTTCCTCTGGTTATTCCTTCTCATACCTGTTTGCAGAGTTAAAGAGCTCCATCATGTGTGGCGTTACTTGTGTTACTTTGAAATCTCTGCAACATTTCCCGTGGAACTGTAGGTGTGCGTTAACCCTGATAATTGGGTCCAACAATTCAAAACTTTGGTTACCGTGGAGAATATTCTTTCAACGATATCATTGCTCATTTGTGTTGTGAGGCAAGCCATAGCATAGTTTCCTCATTCTTCAAGGGGCCATTTGCCTGTTGAATTCTTGTACTGTAACATCCCAAACCAGAAAGAGTCGGAATCTGGGGGAATTTTGTCATAAAAAAAAGACTCCTCTGCCCAAGATAGATGCAATACTTTTCTGTACTGCTGGTCGATGATATCTTTTTTGCTTTGATTGTGAGGCAGTGGAAGGTCTATGAATGACACATGTTCAGTCTGTTTCAATACCTTGTGTGGAACAAATGCACTCAAGCCTTTGAAGATCCTCGTCTATGCTGGAGTCTTCTTTCCACTTGTTGGAAGGCCTCAATTAGAAGACATGCACATAGAAATTTTACTTCATCTGCCTTACCTACTGCTTCAACAAGTGATGATTGTTGTTTACAAAGGAGCATAACTTTTGTGTGAATTTGGCACTGTCTAGTGGCAGTGGTTCTCCATTCCTGTCAAGGATTCTATCTTACAAATTCTTGTGGTACAGAACCAATTCGCTTTCCAGTTCTTCGAGATCAGCATGTGAAAGTACAACAAATTGACTGGATCCTTCAGCATACCCAGAATTTCTCTTGCTTTGTAGCAACAAAAAGCATCTGTCATTGGAACTGCAACAGTAAAGAATGCTTTCAGTTCCTCCTAGTTTAAGAAGATATTGTCCATGAGTTTTTTTAATGGAAGAGGGGTGCTTTTTTGTTCTTCCTTAGTATCCATTGTCCCAAACAGTTCCTTAAGCAGCTGTCATACAAGCACTTTTATGAACAATTTCTTGCCAGGAAGTTTTTTGGAGCAAATGTTCTGGACGATCGTCATCATCAATCTCTTAAAGTTTTTTTAGCAAGATTCCATGATAGAAACATGGCTAATACTATATTTAATGACACAAAGCTTATTTATCAAATATGTACTTATATAACATAGGTTAATAACATTATGATGTACTTATATAACATAGGTTAATAACATTATGATGTACTTATATAACATAGGTTAATAACATTATGATGTATAAAATGCACCAATTTTTTTTTTAGGCACATACTGAGTTTATATGAGTGCTGATTTGACGTGTTTGTTTATAAACTAAAGCATGCGCTCAGCATCACTGCCATTCACACCTCCCTACTCCCTACTGTAACTATGATAATCCAACCAGTCTATAATAAACACTATCAATCCTCCTCCACACCAGCCATAATCATTTTTTCTTCGATTTCTCTCGTTTCTTGTTTATAATGAAAAGAATACAAAGGATAGCTGCTGCGTCATGTACATTCATCTTGCCTTGTTGAAATGTTCAGTTTCCCATCTACTCCCATGCTGGGAGTAAGAACCATCTGAGTGCCCACATTTGGAAGAAATTTCTTGCATCAAATTAATTGCTCATAAAAGCGCTTGTGTGACCTCAGTTTTAAACACGTCTCTGCAGATGACGCTGTTACTGAACCACTTCGGAATTTCATGTAAGGGGTATCCAAGATTAGATGGCACCTTGTCGAAAGCCTTCACAATGCAAAGGGTGAGTGAGAGGCAGACACATCTGTTGACCTGGCAGTTTGGTGACTGCTGTCTCACTCTGGACCTTGCTGAATTTTGTTCATCACTCATTGAAGACGCGCCATCACAGCTGAACCTGACACAGTCAGACCACTTTAATACCCTCTTCCTGAGGGTGTTGCTCAATATCAAGAATATTTCATGGCCAATAGTCCCAACAGTGGGCATAAGGCCACTAAATTCTGTGACAATTCTCCACCTTTAATCGCTATAGTACAGTACCTCACAATAACACAGACAAGCTTGTCTTTGGCCATATTTGCTGTTTTGTCAAAGGAGTACTGTACTGTACTTCTTGCCCTTTGCATCCTCTTTTAATTCCTCAAACAGTGCTAGAAAGGTGACTTTGGAAAGCAACTTAATGCACTCTGTATGATGGAGTTACAATTTTCTACTATGCTTCCTTTCCTGTTATTTATCACCATTTCCCCAAGATGTCTACGCTTGCTGTTGAACAGTGACAAGGTACAGCCACAGTGATCTAACGCAAAAAAATTTCATTATCCCATTTACTTGGAGCAGTCATCACAGGCAGTTCCCTATACATGGTATTCTTTGATCTGCCATACACAAAATTGGGAGAGAATTTAGTAGGTATAAATATGGTATGAATGCGGTTGTTGGTCATTTCATCACCAGACAATTCGTCCCCTGTTCATTATAACTAACCATGGTTTAATCACCTCTAAAATAAAGATAAACTTAACGAAATTTAATAAATATAACACGGTATTCAATCGACCAGTGATGATATGTCTGCCCACCTATGAATGCATGTACTGTACACTATTGTAAATTAAAGATTATATTTAAGACAGATAATTGTAATGGTGTCCTTAATATTCTATCTTTTTCACCCAACAGGAGAGGTACACGGACGTAACGTTAGCATGTGACGGCAAATTTTACCCGGTTCATAAGTTAGTGCTATCAACATGTAGTGAATACTTTGAAAATATGTTCGAACACACTCCTTGTAAACATCCCGTTGTCGTGCTGAGGGATGTCCAAAATGATGAACTAGAGGCCCTCCTTAGTTACATGTATGCTGGTGTTGTGAGTGTTGCGCAGTCTGACTTGGCCCGGTTAATAAAAGTGGCGGAGTTACTACAAATAAAAGGTTTGGCAGTACCAGATGAGCCACCCAACAGTAGCAAGAAAGCTTATAATCAACGGACCAGTGACGATAGAACTAGCCCACACCTCAGGAGTAGACATTCTTATGAGAGAAACAGCCCATATGCAAAGTCAAAACAGTCTCAAAGTTCTTGCGATGACGGAAGTAGCCCTCATCCAAAGAGGCGGAGAAGATTGGAGAGCGACACATCTCACGAAGATATACAGTCTACCCATAATTCTCCCTCCAAAGCCATGGATGGTGAGCGGCTACAGGAGGACCTGAGTGCGTGGAATGAAGATCAAGATACAAGACAGCGAAGTGAGGTAGAATCGGAAGAGAGAACAGATTATCACTCCACCACACAGGATCCTCTCACTGCCAAAGTTCAGGTTTGTGGTTGACTCAGTTTTTTATGGTTTTTATATACTGTATTACAAGGAAAGAAAGTAAGCAAACATTAAGGAATATAACTTCTATACTCTACAAGTAAAATTAGAGGTTTGTGCTTGAATTGAAGCATTATTGAGGTACCTGTACTGGTAGTCTTACATACTCTGACAACACATGGCATGGCCCATGAAATTGAACTGTCGCACTGTATAACTATAAATAATTATAAGTGTTAATTAAGGTAAATTGACGTTCAAAAAGACTGTGTAAAGACAAAACGTGTTAAAAAAGCAGTGTTAAGCAAGGAACCAGTGTACTGTACTTTATTATTAAATATTGGTGTTTGTGTGTCACCACTAGGCCTAATCTCTGTTGTCATAATTAAAGCCGTAAGACTCAATCAGCCAGGATGCATCCCTTTCACATGACTTTGACGGGTTGCATTTTTCTTGGCCTTCCTGCAGGGCAATTCTCTGAAGACAGTCTTCCAGGGAGGGGTATGGAAATAAGGAAATTAGAGTGGCTATTTATCTCAGGGTAATTTGATTATTCTCTCGCAGTTGGATTATGTGGTGCCTGGGAGCCTGAAATGTTAGTTCTTTGCTCTGGTTTCTGGGGTAAAGGGTTTGAGCTGTATTCGTGCTTGGAGTTTGTTTCCATCCCTAAATATGTACAGTACACTACTGGCGTAGGTTTTAAATGACGGATTGATCCTGGAATCCCATTTTATAAGCAGCATAGATTGGGTGACTTAGATCCCTCCCTCCCTACAGATGCTCAGGTGAGCTGGGAACAGAAGACCGGTTTAACCTGGGTCTTGTTTTATGACTTGCTTGGAGTTTGGAACAAAAGCATGTTGGTGATAGACTCTTGAGTCACCTTCTAGCAACCGACTTAACAGTGCTAACCCCCTTTTTGGGGGGTGTAGGCAAGTCAGGGAAGATATATTTCATATTTTCTAGTAATTTGTTAGATTTTTGGATTCTGTGCTTGCCTCATTAGTGGGTGGGTCTTGAGAATTCATGGGCATGAGCCCACAAGCTTGTTGATGCAGTACATGAATACCTGATCCATGCTGCTAGTTAAAGGGGATTTTGATTAATCACTTATATGCATTATTTATTCTCTGTGACAACCCCAGAGTTGCTATGTTTTGGGATTCAAAAGTTAAGGTAACAAAGTTGCAACTTAGCATAAGTCAGTACAGTACCTCACTAGTGCAATCTAGTTTGTTCTTAAGTGTGTGGATATAATCACAGAAGACCAAAAGTAAGTTGCATAGACTGAGAGATAAAAACTTTTAAAAGGAAAATTTACTTCTTAGGAATTATATAATAGACAATTATTCTGGTATGACAGTAATTTAATTTTGGAGGTCGTTTTTCAGGTTAATCTCGATGAATCTCTAGTCAAAGAGGAAATAATAGATGATCCAAGAGACAGTCAGAATGACTCGTCTGAACCTGGCCACAACTATGATGGTATGACAGGAGACTCATCAGGTGGTGGTCAAGACCCAGTCAGTCTTATGGTACCAAAATATGATCATGTTCCTCCAGACCAGGAGATGCTTCCACAGTCAGGCCTAGGCCAACCTCCACCCCTTCATGAAGCTGTTATTGAGGCATTGGCAGGACCTTCAGGAATGCAGGCGGTAAGTCTCAGACCTCTTCGTACAGGTACATCACCGATTATCCGAGAACTGATGGTCCGGCACCTCCTTTAGTCCGGACAAAATTATGAGGGGGCACTTAACTTCCCCCCCCCCCCCTCCCCCCCAGCCAGGGTGAAGATATATGTAACTTTCTTCATTTATTTTTACTCATTTACATACACACACACCATCTTAGATATATATTATGAAAAAAGTAAAATAATTATCCTCAGGGCAAACCTGTACTGAACTAAAAATTATATGTCTAGTGCAAACTATGGGATGTTTGTAATTAAATTAATCACTATCTTACAAGAATTACCACAATGCAGGTTATATACTGCCATGTCAATTGAGTGACATTTTATAGAGGAAAGACTTAAACTCCCTTTATTTGATAACTACTCACTCATTTTCTCCCCTCCCTGACAGCGGTCAACACCTCACCTCCCCCTCCCTCTCCCTCCCCCTCCCAGCCAGGGTGAAGGCAGTTTTACATTGCTGGAATCCTTGTAAGATGGTGATTAATTTGAGTATAAACATCACATAGTTTGCAAAAGAGATACAAAATTTAGTCTAGTGGAGTACATTCGTGTACAAAGTGTGTACAGTAATGTTGCTCAAAATTATGGCTTTTTCACATTTAATTTACATCTAATATTTGTTTAATTTATGTTCTAGCAGTCCATGGTGCTTTAGAGACACAGGAGGTGTATCATTAGTGGGTCAGAGATGCATTGTTGATTTATTATTACCTGACCTCGGTTGGTCCGACATAATGGATAATCCGGCAAGGCTTTGGAACCAAGGGTGCCGGAAAATCAGTGGTGTACCTGTGTTTTCTTTACTCCACAAATTCATGGAAATTTCACTCCCGTCCATTTCTTATGTGATCATGTTCATAGCCATCATTATTGCCTCTCACAAAACAAATGGGTTGTTGAACTTCAAATCTCTTCAAGGGTAGTGATTTAATTTCTTCCCATACTCTCTACTACAGCATGTAGGTAATCCAAAGAAAGATCATTTTTCATGTAATTATAAACTGGTGCCTGGCTCAGGTAAATAATGTCCAGTTAGAAAATCACTAATCCTCAATTACCCCAGCTACCAGTTTTCAGATTGATTTAATTTGTGAAAAGGGAATATTATAGGACTTCAGGTATGTGTTTCATTAGATCCAACTATTTGTCGAATGTGGAGGAATTATAGACTATACTGTAATTCCCATGATTAGAGAGAGAGAGATATATATATATATATACTATATATATATATATGAAAGTGAAAATGAAAACCACGTAAAGTGAACAACAGAACATATGGGATTAATTCCAATAGAGACTGGCCTGACCCCCAAACTCCACTTTTTCCGACACAATACCTATGTTGTAGTAAAAAAAACATCTAAATTTTATGATGGTATGCTCACACAATTAATATTTAAGAGAAATACAGTCACCAGGTTAATGTCCATTCAAATAATGAACTCAAATCCCCTTCCCCCCTTTCCCAGCTCACTAGCTCCTACCTCTCTGATTAATGTTTGGGTGAAAATTCTAGATTTTAACATTTAGTAATAAATAATACCTCAGACTAAAGTTAGGATAATATAATTGACATTTCTGGATTCCTTGCAGGTCAGGGAATATTTTGAATGTAAACTTTATATATTTTGCACAAAAGATAAAATATTTGCTTTGTGTAAACCAAATTATTACATTAGATCTAAAATTTGTATGTCTAATGCAAAATCCATAATGTTTATATTCAAAATGATCATCATATTGTAAGAATTCCAGCAATGTAAATTATATTCTGGTCCAGTAATTTGTATGAATTTTATGAGTTAAAACAAATATCTTCAGTTAATAGAAAAAAAATTCTTCACGACACTATCTGTCAATCAAAGTACCCCACCTTGCCTCCCCCCTCCTCACCTCTCAAGCCAGCTGGGTGGGTCGGTCAGCTCCCTCCTCCCTCCCTCCTCCTCCCTCCCTCCCGACCATATAAATGTGTGGGTGAAAACTCTAGATTTTAACGTTTAGTAATAAATAATACCTCAGACTAAAGTTAAGTTAAGATAATATAATTGACATTTCTGGATTCCTTGCAGGTCAGGGAATATTTTGAATGTAAACTTCATATATTTTGCACAAAAGATAAAATATTTGCTTTGTGTAAACCAAATTATTACTTTAGATCTAAAATTTGTATGTCTAATGCAAAATCCATGATGTTTGTATTCAAAATGATCATCATATTGTAAGAATTCCAGCAATGTAAATTATATTCTGTCCTGGTAATTTGTGTGAATTTTATGAGCTAAATAAAAAAAAAATTATACTTCACCGCGTATATGAGTAGATGCACCGCGGAAAGTGAAACCGTGTAAAGCAGGGTAATACTGTATGTGTATATATACAGTGACCCCTCCGTTAACGAACGCAATCCATTCCAGAAGGTCGTTCGTTAACCGAAAAGTTAGTTAACCGAAACCATTGTTTCAATGGGTTTTGGGTAATTGGTTCCAGCTCACCGAAAATTTCCTAAATTCAACAAAAATGGTAGAAAAGTTCACTTACTTTGAGGTGTGTATGTAGAAGGCTCCTGGATGATGATGATGGGATTTAGAATGGGAGTGGAGGAGAAGGAAGAAGAGAAGGCATTGGGGTGGAAGATAGAAGTCACCCCATGGCACCATTTCACCCATAAATTTTAGTTCTCATGGTGTAATTCAAGATTATTTTCTTTAAATCAACACTGCACTGCATTATATATTGTCAATATGTAAAATATATTTCAAAATGACCAATAATTTGCTTGGAACACAGAAAAAAAGCGTTTAGTTGAAAAGAGTCTCAAGCAAGATGTTACCTCCAGTGAAAACAGAGAGAGACTAAGTCCTGTTTGCTGTGTTAAGAGGCTGGATGCCGCGCATTAAACTAGTCACTTTACCTTCAATTATGTTCAATAATTGTTAAAATGACTAAAAAATTTAATATTAAACTTTTAAAATTATTGAATAGTATAAACTTCGTGATATTTACTAAAATAGTAAGGAATTTAAGCCCTAGAACCGATTAATGTATTGGCGGACTGATACTAAAGCTGGTTGCCCGGTCAGTGCAAGCGAAAACATGTTGAGGTCGGTTCGTAAGAACTTCGTTAATCGAATTTTTTTTCGTTAACCGAATTGAAGATCCTTATGGAAGGCAGTTTGTTAATCGAAATTACGTTAACCGAGGTGAAAGTCATTGTTTTCGTCACGATTTGATCCCACTTTCCACTGTAATACGTACGTCATTTTAGCAAAAATATTACATTTCCGTGAATGCATTATATCAAGCACAGTATGAATAGAATACCATTGTAATATAACAATATTTTGAGTCCTACTCTTTCCATTTACAGATTACTGTACAAGCCCATAATAATGGCACCCTAAAGTAGATAAACTTCGTTGTGTGAAGAGAAAGAACACGTTGAAATTGAGTGACAAACTTGAAATAATTAAGAAACTAGTACGTGGTGTGAGCAATACTGTTCTAATGGAAACATACGACATTGGAAAGTCTACAATTTATGATATAAAAAAGGCAAAGAATAAAATTCTAGAATTCACAGCTTTTTCCTTAAAACTGCTCGTTTTGATAAATGAAGCATGCTATATTTGCTAATGAATAAACTATCAAAATGTACCTGTTCACCTCTTCTTTATTCCTCCTTAAATTTGAATTTTAAAAGTACTGCCTGAGAATCCGGAAAATCCGGACCGACTCAATCCCCAAGCAGTCCTGATTTTTGGACTTCTCTGTGTGTGTGTGTGTGTGTGTGTGTGTGTGTGTGTGTGTGTGTGTGTGTGTGTGTGTGTGTGTGTGTGTGTGTGTGTGTGTGTGTGTGTGTGTGTGTGTGTGTGTGTGTGTGTGTGTGTGTGTGTGTGTGTGTGTGTGTTTGTGTGTGTGTGTGTGTGTGTGTGTGTGTGTGTGTGTGTGTGTGTGTGTGTGTGTGTGTGTGTGTGTGTGTGTGTGTGTGTGTGTGTGTGTGTGTGTGTGTGTGTGTGTGTGTGTGTGTGTGTGTGTGTGTGTGTGTGTGTGTGTGTGTGTGTGTGTGTGTGTGTGTGTGTGTGTGTGTGTGTGTGTGTGTGTGTGTGTGTGTGTGTGTGTGTGTGTGTGTGTGTGTGTGTGTGTGTGTGTGTGTGTGTGTGTGTGTGTGTGTGTGTGTGTGTGTGTGTGTGTGTGTGTGTGTGTGTGTGTGTGTGTGTGTGTGTGTGTGTGTGTGTGTGTGTGTGTGTGTGTGTGTGTGTGTGTGTGTGTGTGTGTGTGTGTGTGTGTGTGTGTGTGTGTGTGTGTGTGTGTGTGTGTGTGTGTGTGTGTGTGTGTGTGTGTGTGTGTGTGTGTGTGTGTGTGTGTGTGTGTGTGTGTGTGTGTGTGTGTGTGTGTGTGTGTGTGTGTGTGTGTGTGTGTGTGTGTGTGTGTGTGTGTGTGTGTGTGTGTGTGTGTGTGTGTGTGTGTGTGTGTGTGTGTGTGTGTGTGTGTGTGTGTGTGTGTGTGTGTGTGTGTGTGTGTGTGTGTGTGTGTGTGTGTGTGTGTGTGTGTGTGTGTGTGTGTGTGTGTGTGTGTGTGTGTGTGTGTGTGTGTGTGTGTGTGTGTGTGTGTGTGTGTGTGTGTGTGTGTGTGTGTGTGTGTGTGTGTGTGTGTGTGTGTGTGTGTGTGTGTGTGTGATAACTTACCTTTTTGTATAGACTTAAAATTGAGATAAGGACAGTTTCCTGTTGTCCTCTTTTATTTTGAAAATAAAGGACATACGGGTCTCAAAAAGGGACAAGCTGTCCTTAAAAGGAAAGACTTGGCTACCCGGCGAGGCAGCGCCACGCAACCCTCTCACATCAGCTGATCGCTAGTAAACAGACCATTTCACGTCCCATAATTTCAGCTGTGTTTATTTATGAGTGTTTGTTTTAACATAATACAACAAAAAACAATGTTTTGTTTATTCTAGGAGATGGGCTGAGGTGCATCTGTGTAGACTGTCAGTCTTTTTAGTATTTTGTGTTTCTCTCAAGTACCAAATTAAATTATTACATTGAAACAACACTTCAATTTAGCGTGAATTTGGTTTAAAGCGACCTCTCTTGGAATATATCTCGTGTTATATCGACGTTCTACTGTACAGTAATCCCCTGGGTTACAGGAGGGATGCCTCCTTGAGAAGTTGACCGTAATATGAAATTCCGTAACATGAATCCCATTTTTTGAAGTACTGTATGTACAGTACTCTACATTATTTTTAGCCCTGTGAGGACTCGGGGAAATTATTTTTAAAGCCTAGCTCTCACAGGCTTCGAGTAAGTTAAAGGTGTAAGATATTTACCAATCAATGTAGAATTCGGACGTAGATAATGAAAAACCTGTTATCTCAAATTTGCTCATTTGGTGCTTATGCCCCTGCTTTAGGCAACACTTCATTTATTTAGAGACAGAAGGAGTCATTATCATGTGAATATTTTCTTATTGCAGTGGCCAGGAGGAGGTGACATGGCCAGACGACTTGCTCTTGGAGAAGGTTTTGGTGGTGAGAGTAATCAGGACTTCACCTCTCTTTCCTTGGGCCAGCCCAGTACACAGGCACACCAGCTGGTGAGTGTTAATTTTAGCATTTAACATGAAGTGGCTATTACAGGGGAAATGAATGTGACAAGAATGTCGTCCTGCAATTATCTTTCTATATTGTGCATTTTTATAGTTAAAGTAAATAATATTTGTTACTTATTTTGTGAAAATGTATATTAATACTTTTCAGGCACTGATTTCTCTCTCAGGAAGCTCTAAAAGCTGGGTTTTAAAAATACCAATAGTGTCTTTGGGTGAATCTTAAGCTTGAAATATTTTTTTTTCAGTTTTTAACTGTAATAATGTTTAACAATTACAAAATAATTTTATTAAATAAATGATCGTACTGTAAAATTTAAAATCACTATATCTATCTTATTCTGAAACTAAGCCATCTATTTGAGACTTGATGGTCGTTAATAAAAATATGAAGTCTTTAATATCATGTACAGTAGTTCAGATACTGATGGGCATCTAGGAATCAGTGTTGTGCATGAGTGATGGGATAACAAGGAACTGAGGGGTGTTTGGTGACGGATGTGCTGCTGAACTCTAATACAGTACTGGGTTATGTTAAGCAACAAGGGTTTACTAGATGAATTTGGGCCTCTGTTGTGTCAGAGAATACCATAACAGAAAACATTTGCTCATGCAGTAAGAAAGAATACTTGGCAAGAAATACACAAAAGTCTACAGTTGCTCTTGATTTTGTCCACTACCATATACAGCTAGACCCCAACTTACGACGGGGTTAGGGACCCAAATCCAGGTCGTAAGTCCGACGTAGATAAAATTTTTTTTTTTTTTTTAAATAAAAAATCTGCAATGAAATACAGTACAGTAAAAGTAATAAATAATGAGGAATGGATACAGTACAGTGAAAGTAATAAGTAATGAGGAATGGATACAGTACAGTGAAAGTAATAAGTAATGAGGAATGGATACAGTGTGACTGAGCACTTACCTTTAATGTAGTCAGCTGAATGCACATGGGGCCCCCATAATTTTCTAATTATACATGGAGACTACATTAACTGGAAACGTTTCGGTATAGAAAATGCGTGTCATTTGAAAAAAAAAATGGTCACAACTGCGGCGGTCGTAAGTCGAAGCAGTCGTAAGTCGGGGTCTAGCTGTATTATATTATAGTGGAAGAGGCTTCAAGGGGTGAAAAGGGAGTTGTAATATCAGATAGTAAGTGCTACTGGACTCCATAATTGTTGATATCAAAGTTTGGGTGCTGGGGAAACCATCGTGAAATTTTTTTACAAGTGATGGCGGCTGGCTAGACAAAGAAGACCCTGAATAATAGAAACATGTCACTGCTTTATGTGTTACATTTTAAATTATTATATTTCACGATTAATTCATTTTTGACTTAAATATTGAACATCTACTATGAAGCTCATTTGAGCACTCATTTGGCCAGCAAAGCTCGGCGCTAAACCGTTGTTCATTTCTTGCAACATGTGAAATCCTGCTGCGTGCTGGGCCGTCAGGCCAGCGGCCAGCAAAAACGGCCAACATGTTGGGAAGAAAGTGCCCAGTGTGCCACTGCCTTTATGTATCTGTCTGTGTTCAGGACTGCTGTTGCCCTTATATAAATTGTACTGAAATTATAAAATTGATTTTGTGTGGATTCTGGTGGTAGCTACATGACCGCTGGCAGGCAGCTTATCTCTCCAGCTGCTAGCAGCCACAACAACAATGGCGCTGCTCAGTTTGAATTTTTCCCCAGTATGTGCTCAGTTATGTGTCAGTGTTACTGTGTACCCTTATTCAAGATGAGTGAAAGCAGTGGTGATAAAAGTTTCCATAAAGAAATTTCATTGGACAATAAACATTATGTTTTAAGGAGGTAACTCTCAGTAACTCTGAGCACACCACCTCACCACCTCCTGCACCACTCAACATTGATTCTTGCAAGCTAAATTCTTGTGTGTACATTTATTGTCATGTTACATCGTGAATGAATCATTGTATGTGTATTTTCATTCATGTGTGTGCTTGTGTTATGTTTTTGGGCCGCAAAAAATTTCCATATGAATGCATCTCAACTTATATAATGGGAGTCAATGGGGAAAAATGGTTTAGCGATACAGAATTTTGCGATGCGGAAAGATTTTTCAGCTGTGGAACCCTTCCGTAGCCTGGGGGATGCCTGTAGAATATCAAAAGGGGTTGAGAAAAGTAAAGGAGTGCACAAGAGCTGTGTATTGTTGCATGGAGGAGACATTGTGTGAGATGGGTGAGTGTGGGATCTGGTTGAATACCAACAAGTGACACAGATTGGATTCTGTCCTCATTGTTAAATGCAAATAATGCTGTACAGTGTTGTCAACTACTGTAGATCAGAAAAGAGTGATGCTAAGTAATAGGGTTTTATGATGAGTGCAGGTAAAGGTGAATGCAGGATACCCCAGTTATTGCAAAGGATGCGTTCTTAAAAGTCATTGCGAATAACAAATTTCGGGGAAATTTTCCCCATAAGAATGAATGTAAATAGGGGAGATGTGTTCCCAGGCAACTTTCACCACATACTTTCGATATACACTCCTCATTATCCGAGGCTTTTAGGGACCAGGGTCGCATGTATACTGTAGTACCAGAAAATGTGAGGAATAAATAAAAATAATACAGTACTAATAAATAGAAAAAAGATACAGCATTGCCAGTTGGCAATATAGTTTCACTACACGTTGGAGACTGGAGCAGGTGAGATCTCCAACACTAATACCTCTTCCCATAATCTGGTTGGTAACTACTACAGTAGAACGTCGATTTAAAGTGATTCAATTTAAAATTATTGATTTAAAGCGACACCCACAATTGAGGACAATGTATTAATTTAAAGTGAATCTTTCCTATTTTATGCGAGTCAATCTGACACACTATTTACGCACTACTTTAAAATTTGTGTCTAATAGACGCGTCTCTGGGCACGCTACACAGCTGCCCGCCACCATCCCACACCCTCAGTTCTCACACTGACGCTCTATTGAACGGACATATTGTGTGACACTATTTCCTTCTACCACGTACATCAACCATCGCCACTATGTCCAAGAGGCCAGCAACTACAACATTAACTACCCGAAAGACCAAGAAATCAAGGCAAACAATTACACTGGAGCAGAAAAACTAGGTGCTGGAAGCACTGCAGTGAGGACATGGTGCTTCAAGTGTGGGGCGCCAATTTGGACAGTGATGTGGATAATGAACTGGTCGAGTTGGGCTCTACATCTTCAGAGGTTGAATTGCTTAAGTATGTTGAGTGAAAATCTATTTTAGATAGCATAAAGTAATTAAAAAATAAGTTGAGAGGAAAGTGAAGGTGCTTGGTGAGTCAAACGAGAGGCAGGTGGAGCGCGGCGCCAGCGTGACCGCCCTCTCACATCAGCTGATCGCTAGGAAACAGACCATTTTGCATGGTGGTGATAATAGAGGGAGTGGTGTTGATGGTGGTGATAATAGAGGTAGTGGTGATCATGGAGCTGGTGGTGAGAAAGCAGAAAGGTGGAGGTGACTTAACCCTTAAGCCCCGGGTTAGGGTGCTGGTGGCAGTACCCCCCACCCGGGGGTAAATCGAGAAAAATCAGATATTCCAAAAATAAATTTTAACCTTTTAAAATGATAAAACAATAAAAAATAAGTAAAAAGAACTATATATTGACCCTCTAGAAACTTCTCTGGCCGCGCAGAGGGAAGGAGGGAGGAGGGGGGTGAGATAGGGAGACTTGGTTTGACAGCTGACGCACTTGGTCCCTCGGCACTTAGCAGCTCGCCTTTGTGTCCGAAGTGGCCAATAATGTATGTACTTACTGATCTTAATACTTAGTTGCTGTAAATAATTAATTTAGAATATTTTATTTGCATAATTTATCATTAAGTGCTTGGCAACAATCACCAGTAGGTCGCCAGTCTGCCTGGCTGTCTTTGTGTTTGGTAGAGCAAGTAATGCATAAAATAATAATAATTCCACAAATCAAAACATTTATAACATAATCATAGCATTGTTTTACAGTAATACTACCCTACAATACAACTACACAACTTTTATCAATATTACTTTGATACAACAAGATAAAATCGACAAACAATGTAATTGAAACAAACAAAAGTAGGTAATTATGTTTAGAAAGCTTCCCTGTGGCCGAGCATGTGGTGTGAGAGGCAAATAGTCACACTGGAACCTGATAACCCGCGCTGGGCATTTAAACAGTGGCGGGAATAGGCGCGTGTTCTGGAACGCCACCCGGGGCCTAAGGGTTAACATCGCAATAGTAGAACATTCTTAAGTTACCGTAATCGGCGAATGGGTAATAAAAACTTGCTTTCGTTATACTGTAGTGTGGATTAACGTTTAATGGGGACTCACTGTACTAATTATACTGGATACTGCAGCATACATTAAGAAAACATGGATGACTTGCTTCAATGTGCACAAAGTTTTGATTCAGGGTGTAAGGCTTACTAGATCACCTAGTTTAACCCGATAACTGCTGTAGAGTGATTCGCCGATCAACTCCCAAGTGCACATAAAAAACACGTACAGTATATCAATTTTCCCCGAATATCATTTTAACTCTTGTGGATTAAAAGACATTACAGTATGTAGAAGAATGTGGGAACCAAATATGAGTCCATTACTTAACTTAGTTTGGCCGCCAGTCTCTCATAGGGCAGGAAAAGGATTCTAACCTCTATTGCTCGCCCCAACACTTGACTTATATGACGATTTCTATAAAACTTAATAGTTATATCTTCGTTAACCGTAACAGTTGATGCAGAGCACGTTCAGAAATGAAAGATTTCCGGGTAACGAGATGACTCTCCCATCCCCGGACTTTTCCGGGTAAATGAAAAATATTTTCAGAAGTTCCAGAAATTACGCATTACATCATCTCTCATACCCGTATCCCCAGAATTTTCCGGGCACAACCAATCCTCGTTGTACACTTATTTGATTTAAGCGTTTTTGCAATAACACGTTTGTTCAATTAATACCAGTTCCTAATTTACACGCA